AACGAATGAGAGTGGTTGTTGCTCCACATCCTTGCCAACTTTTAGTGTTGTCAGTGTTTTGGATTTTGACCATTTTAAATAGCTTTAGAACCCAGATGTTTCGGCTCAGGGAGCCTTCTAGTAGGATAATAATGCATGTCCAAAGAGACGAGTGTGAAGATTAAATGACATCATGCACATATTCCAATAGTGATAATACCTAACTTGGCATGTGCCAGGCACTGTGCTAAGTGACTTGGGAGGAATTAACCTTCACAGTAACCCATAATTCAGGGGCTATTTTTATCCCTATTTTGCAGATAAAGAAATAGCAGATCAGAGTGAATAAGAGCTATGTCCAAGGATATGCAGGGTGTGTCAGAACTCAATTCAAACCCAAACCTGCTTGACTCTTGAGGCCGATGACCTTAACACTGTGCTGCGCACTGTCTCATGTATAATCAACGGTCGATTTTAAAAAATGTTCTTCTGCCCTAGACACACAAGAGGGCAGTTTCCATTCATTTCAGCAAAGGCATTTATTATGATGACAGTGTCTTTATCAAGTAGTGTGACTTTTTGTCTGTCACCACAAGGCTTGTTATCTTCCTTCTTATAGCTTTTGCTACAAAACCTGCAGTCAGCTCACCCCCAGTCCTCAACAGAGCCCTGATTCGATGGTTGTTGGAGAATACATAAACCCAGAGCATCACCTGCTTCACCAGGACCTCAGAATGCTCTCCAAGTCCTCTTATCATCAATAACATTGATACCAACTAATTTAAACCCACTGAACCAGGGAACTAGGGCAGCAGATGTGTTTATGAGCAGGATACTAAGTAGATATTTTAACTAAGCGGAACATTTCTTGCTTCAATTAATGCAAAAGGTAGCAACTCAAAGGAAATATTAGGAGCATTAAGTTTTATATTGGTGCCATTTATTATATATGATATTTAACACGTTTAATCACTTTATTTCTGTGTTGACACCTACTGAGAGAAAAAAAAAAGAGCTCCTCTTAGTGATTGTGAGCCAAATATTTCTGTCAAACTGAGACAGATTACCATTAACCCCTGAGTTGCCATGGTCTCTTGAGGAAATAGTGAGGATTTTATTAGCTTTATTAATGGTAATCAGGGAGATTAAGTTAGTGATTAGCAAAGAATATACTTCAAATTGCTTGGAAAAGGTGAATTAAGTAGAAGGGAATTAATATTTATAGAGCACCCAGTGGATACTAGGAATGTGCTTGGGCTATCTACAGAATTAAATCTCCAGGCAATCTCATGAGACTGGCTAAAATTATGTCCATTATGCAGATTAGAAAATGGCAAGGTTTGTAAAGTATCTACCAGGTGCATGGTGCTAAATCCTAGGGCTTTGATGATGAATACTCTGACACATTCCCTGCCCTCATGGAGTTTGTATTCTGGTGAACAAACAAGATATTTATGACTAACCTTTGATTATGATTCGTATGATTATAATAGTGAGATCGATGTTAGGACAAGGGAAGAATGGAAGTTATTTGGAAACTTGGAAAAGATGAAACTGATTTAGACCTTAGGGTGAGAAAGAGGACTTCCTGGAGAGATTGATGTTCTAAGCTGAGACCTGGATGATGTCCAGCAATTAGCCAGGTAAATGGGGGAGACGGAAGAGTATTCCAGGTAGAGGAAACAGTATATATCATGGCACAGAGGTAGAGGAAAGCCACTAACTTCCCAAGGATGGTGTGTCTAAGATATGACAAAGCTAATATTTGAATCCAGGCTTATCTGACTCTTTGTACTGAAACCAGCACAGAAGGGTATCTTTGGTCTTCTTCTGCACATATTCAAAATATACAATCTTCAAAGGAAGCGCCCACATGTTTTGTCCAGGTCTTCTGACAGTGCCACCTGTGTGTGCCATGTTGAAGACAAAGCTCCTTGGCGAAACTTTGAGGCTAGGGGTGAAAAGCATTGTTGGCTTTCTCTAGGGCTCACTCGAATAGGGATATAAGGCTTCAAGTCTGTGTCTCAGTTTGTAAATTTGAGGCTGTGAGGAAAAGAAAACCCAAGCCACACTTGCTCCAGCACTTTTATGGTGCAGGGAGTAATTTTGCTGCAGCTTTGGCTTGGTTGAGGGTGGAGGGATGCCACCGGGACGTGGTTGTTCTCTCCTCTGTGCACAGCTCTGCCTTGCTTGCATTATGGCGCCCATTCTTAGGCAGGGTCTCTGCTTCGTAGTGGACTGCCACCATTGTGGAACTGCCTCCTTTCACTTTGGGTCCAGCTGGATGGATGTGGGATGGAGAGGGATGGGGGTGAGAATCTAATTGTCTGTGAGTTCAGACCAAAGGCCCGCAATCTAGAATTGCTGACTTTGATTGGCAGGCTTGGCTCACCTGCTCACCCAGGCTTCCATCACAATCGTTGTTGTCATGGAATGCCATAAGCTGATGGGTTGAGTCTGGGTTCTGTGCTCCACCCCAGAGCTGGAGATGAGGTGTTATTCAGGGTTTCTGTCCTGAGAATATAGTAGGGGTTGATTTCCAAGGAGAAATGGGGCTATTACTGAAATAATATGGAGTGGACCCTGTGCTCCATCTAGCCTTTACTTCACACCCAAAGATATCCATCCTGTCTTGAAATTCCAATGACCCTCAGAGAAAGCACTGGACTTTGGAGGTGTGGGAGTGTGGCAGCTGTGAGGCATCCCTAGTTTCTTTTAGAGGAAGTGTAGGGGAAAGCAGGTAAGCTTTGGAAACCAAAAGAGTGGAATTCCTATCTAAGTTCCACTTTTACTTACTGTGAGACCTGGGACTCATCATTTAACCACTCTGGGACTCAGCGTCCTTCCTTAAAAATGGGGATGTTAATACCAAACTCATACTGTGATTATTAGGATCCAATGAGATACTAGATATAAAACACCTGGTACATGGCACATAGTATGCACTTGATAAATGTCAGATTGGGTTGCTGACTGACAACCTGGAATCTCTCTTGTCTTAGTCAGCTCAGGCTGCTATAACCAAATACTGCAAACTGAGTGGCTTAAATAGGAGCCGTTTATTTCTCACAGTTGTAGAGGCTGGGAAGTCCAAGATCAGGGTGCTGGCAAATTCAATTCTTGGTGAGGGTGCATCTTTCTGGTTTGCAGACTGCTTCCATCTCGCCTGTGCTCACATAACCTTGTGTGTGTGTGTGTGTGCGCGCATGTGTGTGCATGTGTGTGTGTGGAGAGAGAGAGACACAGAGAGAGAGAGAATCTGTCTTCCTCTTCTTAGAAGAACACTCATCCCATCATGGGTAACCATCCCTCATGACCTCATCTAAATCTAATTACATCCCAAAGGCTCCATCTCCAAATACCATCACATTTGGGGGTTAAGGCTTCAAATTTGAATCATGGGGAGACACAAATATTCAGTCCATAACACCCCCATTCCTCTTAGTGCCTTATTTTATTTAACTCTCTCAGCTTTATAACACTTTTTTCTTTTCGTTGCTATTTGCTTCTCACACTTTTATTTTTATTTTGTTCTGTAGAGTCTTGCTTGGTATTTTTAATCCTTTAGATGTATCTTTTCTATCTGATTATAACTTATTTATTCTCTTTATTTTCTCATTTCATCTTTATATTAGCTACATTCCCTACCATTTCATACAGTACTGTAAAGAGCACATAATATATACTGTTTATTTATGAGTCACCGTTTTTGGCTTTCCAATACTGCCTTTTGGCTAATTTCTGATATTGGTAAATGCAATTAACTTGATCCCACTTATTTATTTTTAAGCAGTATTTATGTCTTTAAATATGTTATTTGCTTTTAATGCTGAGTCTAAAGACTCACCTTTTATATGTTGTTGTTAAAGGCACAGAAAATCTAAACTGTACCCAAATACCTCGGCAACATTTAATGATACTATATTATGCCCTTTGCAACTAAAACAAATGTAAGTACTTTAGCAGCCACAATCTCATTTGTATCTCACGAAAGCTCTTCTATCTCTCAAGAGTAAGAGAAAGAAGGCTCAGAGAATTATGCTCTCTTGCCTGAAAACATACAGCTGAATGGTGGAACCAGAACTGTCTTTCTGCTCTTTTAACTCAGATGGATTTTTCTTTTCACTTCAATATGTCCATTTCCCTGAATACCATGTACCTACGGAATAAAGCCAAATCCCTGGGAACTGGATTTCATTTTTTTTCCCAATACAATTTAAAACTGATTTTCATCAATGTCCCCAGCATGTTCTTCCCTAATCCCATGCATGAAAGACATAAAGTTCGTAGCAGGCTGAGAATGTGTCAGGAATCACAGCAGGTTCTTTTGTGAATTGTACTATTCCTCTGGCTGATAAATGGTCCTTTTCCAGAAAGCATGGCCTTCATCTTGGCCTTATCACTTCTTATCTCTGTGAAACATTAATCAAGATGTTTCCTGTGCAGAGGATAGCAGCCCAACATGAATTGATTTAAGTAAATAAGAGAATGTATCGGTCCATATATCTGCAAATTCCAAATGTAGCATTCGCTGCTGGTATGGCTATATCCAGGGACTCAATCTATGCAGTTAAGATTCTGTCTCTTGTCCCAGCTCTTGGTTATGCTTTTTTATCTATCCTGCATAATTCTCAGGTTGACTCTGTGCACAAGATGGCCTCTGGCAGCCCTATGCTTCCAGGTTAGCTAACAAGAGGAAAAAACATTGGTTTCCCAACAAATCCACTGAAAACTTAAAAAGGACTGTACTAGGAGCAACCAGGGTTTCATGTCTATCCCTGAACCAACCAGGAGATGAAACAGAGTGATTGGCTGTGCCTCAACCATGTGCCCATCCTGAATGCACAAGAACTGTGAATGGGGGTGGAGTGGTTTCCCAAGAAGAAATCTGAGTGTGGAAGGGAAAGAACAGGCAGGAAAACCCATCAGGATACCTACTACAGTGATCTTGAGCAAGTTATTTAGACTTGCTGAACCTTAGTCTCCTCATTTGGAAGGGAGAAATAAAAACACATACTTACTCTGGTTGTCTCTTAGTTGAGATGTTGAAAGTACTTTGCACATAGTAGGTAAACAATAAACGTGAGTTGTCATCCCTGTCTTTCTCTGATGCTTTCACTTCCATTTTCTCCAAACTCACCAGGCTGTGTATTGGAACAGCGACTGTGTGTCACCTTGCTAAGAAGTATATTCACTTCAGTTGTTTTGTTCTTCCTCCTTGGAAAAACAAAAAAACAAAAAAACAAAAAAAAACGTAGCATTTGTAGATAAGATGGACCAGGAGATAATCAGTACAAATAATAATACAGGAAATTCTTTCCTTGGCTGAAAACTAGCAAACGCGATGAGAAACCAGATAAGATTTGGGACCAAAGCACCTTCTAATTGTTGATTGTAGCAATTCTCTGCAGGCATTGGTGGTGACAGCCCTATACCTGATATCTTCTTAGACTCAGGATCCTCCATTTGTTAAATGTGATTTCTGTGTACCCTTCCTCCTCCACCAGAGGGCCAGGGTAAGACTGAGGACAAGTTAGATTGCTAGGAGAAAATTTTATAGCTTTTGGGTATTTTGCATATCTAGACAAATGCATATAATTTTAAATTATAACCTAGGATTTTAACTGTCTCATTTTTCCTTTACATTTAGATTTTAATCTAGCTGAAATTTAATATATAGTATAAGTTAATGGACTCCATTTTATTATTATTTTTTTACCAAATGATAGGCCATTGTGCCAGCATGATTTATTAAATAAAACTATGCTTTAGTTACTGTCATTTTATTATATACACAATTGTCTTATATTATGCAACTTATCTCAAGGTTAATTTTCCCCTGATCTATTTATTCACATGTCATCCATGTCTACTGTTTTATGGTAATTTCATAGTATGTTTTAATATCTGCCAAGCCAAGTCATTTTTCACTATTATTCTCTATTTGGCTATTTGGGGAAACTTATTCTTTTACATTAAAATTAGCATTATTTTATAAAATTAACAAAAATGTGGGATTCTATTTAAAATTACATTGCATTAATATGATAATTTTGATGTAATTGATATTTTAAGCCATTAAATTATCCCATACATAGACATAATAGATCTTCCCATTTATTGATATCTTGATTGGTACTCAACACAATTTTATAGGTTTCTTTACATAAGTCCCATGTCTCTGAGGTTTAATGCATTTTAAGTATGTTTAGCTTTTATCATGTTTATGAATAAAATATTTCTTTTCCTTTTCTAGCTAGTGAGTGCTTGATTTAAAAAATGTATTGATTTTTGTATATTTATCTCACATCCAGACACTTTGTCAAAATAAAATGGGTTTTAACTGGAGCCTCTTGTAAGTTCTAGACTTACAATAATATCAACAAAGAGAAAAAAAAGTTTTCTCCTTTTGTTGTCTTATTGTATTTTATAAAACTTCCAGAAAATTGCAAAATAATACCATTGATGCAGGTCATCCTTTGCTTTGTTTCTGATTTCAGTGAAGTAATGTTTAAGAGTTTAAAGAGAGCTGTCAGGATCTCCATGTGTCATTTTAATTTCAAAATCAACAGTTATTTTATTCGTTTTTCATACAGCATGTTTTTGATGCTGAATTAGCTAGAAATCTTTTGGTGGGCAAATGGCAGAAACTGAACTCAAATGAGTTAAAGAGCATTTGTAGATTCACGTAACTGAAAAGTTCAGACTACTTCAGGAAAGACTGAACCAAGGTTCTCATTCAATGGCATCAACAACCTATATCTTTTCATCTCTTATTTGTGATAATTTTTCACTGGCTTCATGGTCATGATGTCCCTATTAACCCTGGATTTACCACCTGTCAACTCAGCAACCTCAGCGGAAAGTGTTTTATGTTTCCAGTAGTTCCAACTGAAGTCCTAACTTGATTTGGTTATCATGAAACTAAAATCAAATTAGTCACTTTTTCCAGAAGGATTAACGACTGTGATTGGACCTTCCTGGATCAAGTGCCCCACGCTCTGGCTGAATTTGAGACCTAAGATGGGCTTAGAATGGGGAGTAAATGCTTCCTTAAGGAGAAATAAATTATTCCCTAAAGAATAGGGATAGGCAAAACAGGAGAATCCACCAAGTGGCTCCTCATTATCCTTGTCTTCCTCCAGATATCTTTTCTGTCTTTTTAAATAATGAATATTCAGCCAGGCGTGATGGTTCATGCCAGTAATCCCAGCATGTTGTGATGCCGATGAGGGTGGATCAGTTGAGACCAGGAGCTCGAGACCAGCCTGGGCAACATAGTGAAACCACATTTCTACAAAAAACAAAACAAACAAACAAACAAACAAAAAACCTTAAAACATTAGCCAGGTATGGTAGCGTGCACCTACTGTAGTCCCTGTAGTCCCAGTTACTTAGGAGGCTGAAGTGAGAGGATCACTGGAGTGAAGGATCACTGGAAGTGAAGGATGCAGTGAGCTGAGATTGCGCCACTGTACTCCAGCCTGGGCAACAAAGCAAGACCCTATCTCAAAAAAAGAGAGAATATTCTTATAAAACTGAGCACTGTATCAAAGTGCATTTGGATACAGTAGTGTAGAGAGAGATTATCATCTTCATTCTAGGTAGTATACTTCTATTACTAAGGATTGCTTCACATTTTTGCTAACCACATCACACTTTAGAGTCATATTGAGTTAGTCATTGAATAGCTGTTATCACAGGTGTGACTACTTTCCTGGCCTTAACTATGAAACTTTAGTGCCATATTTAGGTATTTTTAGAATTAGCTCCATCATTCCAGATCATCAGAGTATTTTTCCATTATTGATCTTATCATTTATTTCTTTTTTCACTTTTCCCAGGCTTATGCCATTTGATGAATAGTTTATCTATGTATTCATACTTCTAAGACTCGCTAAAAAATTCTCACTTCCTGGGATGAATTTTCCTCTCTTCTGCATTTGATGAATTCATAGTCAAAATTTGAGAACTAGCAAAACGTCCCTGCTAAACTGTCCATATAAGTTTTCAATGTTTCTCTTTGAGCAGTTATTATGCTGTGCTTTGGAAGAATGCCATATAACAGGTTAAATGACATAAGCATTTCTGTTTCTTAAAGGTTTGATGGAATTCACTTCTGAAGCTTTCTGGGAATGTATTTTTTTAAGTTTTAAAATTATTTTTAATTTTTTATAATAAATAATGTGTTTAGACTTTAAAATATCTCTTCTGGCAGTTCTGATTATTTATATTTTCCCTAGCTAATCCATTTCATCTTGAGTTTCTATTAATTTACATAAAATTGAGCAGTATTCTTAGAACCTATGCAAAAGGCGTAGGTTCACCTTAGGCAGGTGAGGTAGGTTGTCCACTATTTAATTCTAACGGACACCATTTATTTTTGTAGTGATTTTGTATATTGTAGTACTAATTTCATCATTGTATTTTTTTAGCATTTGGCAGTAAAATGACTTGAGAATGGGGTGTGTTTTTCTTCACTGCACATTGGTGCTGCTAGGGTTAGCTGTGGGACTGCTTCTGTATCTGAGATTATTTCTCCATTTTCATTTCAATGTTACACATTTGAATTTTGTTCTTATTTTCTTGATTATGAGCAGATGTTTTTTCAGAAAATATAATCATTTATGTTTGGGGTTGTACTGATCATTTCAACTACTTTTTTTTCTATTCTGTAATCTAGTAATTTTTGCTTTTATCTTTGTAAATTGCCATGTATCTTGTTAGTTTTTGTAGGTCCTCAAGTTAAACATAATTGATTTATTTTCATTTATGTAATTTAAAATCCATAACATTTAGAACTATGAATTTTCCTCTGAGGACTACTTTAGACACATACTATGGGTTCTCAAAAATTCACATTGTACTTTCTATTTAAAGTACAATTTTAAATAATTGTATATATGTATTGTATATATATAAGAATGGTTATATATATATGTCTGTTTTCCTGTTAGACCACTCATGAGCAAGGTTTAACAGTCTGTACAGCAATGTATGAGTTTAGAATCTAACAAATGTTTTTCTGTTCTGTAGATAAATGTGTACATGTTGAAAAGTAATTATCTGTATTTTTGCCCAATCTGTTATCATGCTGAGGCTTCAGCAACACAGATCAGATAAAAGAGATGAAAATTAAGCCCTTGCTATTTGTAAGACATAGACACTCCATTTTAGCTTAAGTAACAGAAGAATTTACCAGCTTATGCAACTAAGAAGTCATGAACAATGAAGGCTTCAGGCATGACTGGAATCAGGTGCTTAAATGACATCATCAGCTATCTCTTCTTCTCTTCTCCCTCTCACATACACTTCAAATTATAGCTAAGTTTTTCCACATTCTCAGAACGATCTCTCTACATTGTGATAAAATGCCCTTCCTCCACAGATTCAAATATATATGCTCTTCATAATTAACAGAGCTCAAAGAAAAGAGATATATCTTGAGAGAACCAAAGAAAGTCCAGGATGGCAAAACTTGGAATATGTATCTATCCTTGATTGCATTTCCGTGACTAAGGAAACAAAGGACTTATATTGGCCAGCCCTGGTCCTTAATGATATCCTTGAAACCAGAGAAGTGGGATCTGCTCCATGCAAGCCACTAGGATTGAGTAGCATTAGTAAGGAAGGGAGAAAGGTATGTCCTTCATAGGAATGGTTATTGGACAGGTAAACAGCTTTTAAAGAGGCTGGTCCTTGGGAGGTCAGACAGTCAAGGTTCAATGAGGAATATCAAAAGGAGTGTGTATACTCTAGGAAGAGCCAAAATTTAAGGGCATTGAATGCCACATTGTAAATATGTGAATTTCATAGATGTCTCACCCTGAGAAGGACAGGGTATTACTTATGTGGTATTCCATTGGGTAACCATTAATTTAAATGTAATCATGAGAAAACATCAGATGAACCCCAGCTGGGGAAAGTTTTGTTTTTTAAAGAATTACCATATTTTTCAAAAATGTCAAAGTGATAAAAGATAAAGAAAGATTGTGGAAATGTTCCAAATTAAAGGAGACTGAAGAGGCATAGCAATGAAGTACAATCTCTGATTCTCAAAGGGTCCCGTACTAGAGGGGAAAAAAAGCAATAAAAGACATTATTTTAGTCAATTTTTATGACATAATTTTTATGACAAATTTATGTCATATTTTAGGTCAATTTACAATATTGGAATTGGGATGGTAAAGTAGACAAAAGTTTGAGTCAGTATTAAATTCAACAAAGAGGATAACTACTGTGGTTATAGAAAAGCATCTCATTCTTAGAAATACATACAAGTATCATGAATAGTGCTGCAATAAACATATGTGTGCATGTGTCTTTATAGCAGCATAATTTATAATCCTTTGGGTATATACCCAGTAATGGGATGACTGGGTCAAATGGTATTTCTAGTTCTAGATCCTTGAGAAATCACCACACTCTCTTCCACAATGGTTGAACTAGTTTACAGTCCCACCAACAGTGTAAAAGTGTTCCTATTTCTCCACATCCTCTCCAGCACCTGTTGTTTCCTGACTTTTTAATGATCGCCATTCTAACTGCTGTGAGATGGTATCTCATTGTGGTTTTGATTTGCATTTCTCTGACGGCCAGTGATGATGAACATTTTTTTCATGTGTCTGTTGGCTGCATAAGTGTCTTCTTTTGAGAAGTGTCTATTCATATCCTTTGCCCACTTTTTGATGGGGTTGTTTGTTTTTTTCTTGTAAATTTGTTTAAGTTCTTTGTAGATTCTGGATATTAGCCCTTTGTCAGATGGGTAAACATCTCCCATTCTGTGGGTTGCCTGTTCACTCTGATGGTAGTTTCTTTTGCTGTGCAGAAGCTCTTTAGTTTAATTAGATCCATTTGTCTATTTTGGCTTTTGTTGCCATTGCTTTTGGTGTTTTAGTCATGAAGTCCTTGCCCATGCCTATGTCCTGAATGGTATTGCCTAGGTTTTCCTCTAGGGTTTTTATGGTTTTAGGTCTAATATTTAAGTTTTTAATCCATCTTGAATTAATTTTTGTATAAGGTGTAAGGAAGGGATCCAGTTTCAGCTTTCTACTTATGGCTAGCCAGTTTCATGTCCTTTGTAGGGACATGGATGAAGCTGGAAACCATCATTCTGAGCACTATCATTCTGAGCAAACTCTCACAAGGACAGAAAACCAAACACTGCGTGTTCTCACTCATAGGAGGGAATTGATCAATGAGAACACTTGGACACACAGGGTGGGGAACGTCACACACTGGGGCCTGTTGTGGGGTAGGGGGAGTGGGGAGGGATAGCATTAGGAGAAATACCTAATGTAAATGACGAGTTAATGGGTGCAGCACACCAACATGGCACATGTATACTTATGTAACAAACCTGCACGTTGTGCACATGTACCCCAGAACTTAAAGTATAATAGAAAAATACATACAAGTATTTAGGGGTAAAAGGTCATGATATATGCAGTGTACTCTAAAATGGCTCTGAAAAATAAATGCATGCACGTCTATGTGAATATACATAAAGGGCAAATGATGAAGTATTTGGCTTTAATGAAATGTTAATAATAGGTAAATCTAGATAAAACATATAAAGGTTTTTTGTATTACTTTATTCTTGCAACCTTTCTGTAAGTTTGAAATTATTTACAAATACAAAGCTTAAAAAATATTTGGGTTTATCTTGTAGGCCATAAAAGGTAATTGATGTTTTTCAACAAGCTTGTGATAAATAATGTTTTAAGTCTGTTTTGAAAGACACTGCAATTAATATAAATCATCCCTGATTCAGAATGCAATTGATTTTATCCTGTTAGCAGAGATTTCACATCATTCTTTCACTGGGGTTTTTGAGGGCATTTTAAAGGAAATTTGACAAAGGGTTTCCTCATGCTTGCACCTACTGTGGCATTTTCTCTGAGGCTCTGAAGTGTCAGTGTCTTTTGAAGAAAGATCTCACTGGTTACAATGGAGAGGGCAGTTTGGGAGGGAGACAACCTGGAGTGGGGAAGAATATTTAGGGGGGTATTGCAATAGCTCAGCCAAGAAATAACGAGGAGAAGACAAGAAAGGATGTATCTGAGAGGTGTTTAAAGTGGGAGTTGTTAGGACTTGGTAACTAATTGAACATGGGGGCCAGGGCAAGGAAGATGAACAAGTCACATTGCTTTAGAATCCTGAGTGGATGATAATGCCTTCTGTGAAAATAAAACATAGGTAGAGGAGTAGGTGAATAGGGAACTCTGGAGAAGCATGGAAGAGAATGAATTGTTTGACCATTGATGGTTCTATAGGATTTTCAGTTTCACATATTTGGTAGGAAATTGGAATTACAGAGG